GAAATCTTTCTGTACAGCATAATGTCTTTGGGAAGAAAGGGAGAGAAACACATATCATGAAGCCTATTATTACACAAAGTAAAAGTATGACTTAAAATATTTACAAGAGACACCTGAAATGTTTTAGTAATTTGGTAATACTGATCTCAGAAGCTATTAGCTCTTAAACATCCCAGTTCTAGGTATAGTATATTTCCCTATGAGTTGTTGACTAAGGAGACCTAGAAGTTTTCAATCAATACAGTTTATATTGTCAGCCTTTGTTATACATCAGAATTAGATGGTGAAACCTTATTGCTAAAGACACAACATATGCTGGGTACAGGACATCTTGAGGAATCAAGATGGAACTGAACTTTATGACTGGCCAACTAGCAATCATAGTGTTAGAAAGTGTTACGAAATTTATAGAGGATGGAGTATATAGAGAAAATCATTACCAATCTTATTCAGAAAACTTTGAGGCATATGTTCTCACTGTTGAAATAGTGGTGCAACTGTCATAGATATGGCCATTGATTTATGATTGAGTTTGAGGTCTAATACACTTCATACTTTAAACCTGGTTTATAGTCTTAAGGTATTTTTTATATGTAATAAAAAACCATATAGCTGTATCGGTAACAGGTCCTCTGGGAGTATATATTTCCAATGTTTCACTAAATGGATATGTAACCAAAATGTCTCCTAAATATTTATGTTTATACCTATAGTCTAGTGCTAATATGAACCTTAATTTAGAAAATTTTGTTTTTGTTTGAGTGTCATATTTAATGCATTGACTTGCAACTGTTGAAAATGCTAAGAATAAGTGATTGTTGAGCATTTAGTCTTAAAATAAACATCTATAAAATTCCATCTAAGGCCCAGGAGGCATATAGAAGAGAAGCCAAAAAAATTATGAATCATAAGAAAGAGAAGAACCTTATATAGCACTACCTTCTGGATGTGACATAGCTATCACAGTCACCAGCACATAGTAGATGTGGTTACATATAGAAGACTCATGCACAAACAAAGACATAGGGTAAGAATAAGAATAGTTGGAAAGAAATGGGTCAGTAAGAACAGAAAAGGTAAAAATTTTGGCAATAGAAAGATGAATATGATTTCAATACAGTCTGTAGATATATATAATTATCAAAATAAAAATAATATAAAATTAAATTTAAAAATCAACAACAAATACATTTCAGATTAGCTATTGGGGTTCTTTTTTTATACCCCAAATGTCACTACTGTCTTAACACAGCACAAGTTATTTGCTTCTTTCTCTACATTTTCTCTCTCAGCAGTTATATTTTCTTATTTGATACTTAAGTCCACCATGCTTAGTAGAAAATCTGCAACCCACCACTATATTGTCAGGTCAACATGCCCTTATCAAATGGCTCACTTGAGAAAATTCAGCAAAGGAAAGAAATCATTGATTCACTAATCAAAAGGCACACTACAACAAAGAGATGTGACATTGTAAGAAAATGCCTAGCTTTTATGCTTTGTGTATTTGTTGATCATAAACTAAAACAAGACTTGTTTTTAGGCCTTTCCCTGTGTAACTATAAGGAAGCTTCCTTTCACAAAATTAGATTGACTTCAGAGACATCATACAACTAAATGTATCAATCTATTTGATTTTTTCTAAGATGCAAACTCAACTGTCTCAGTATGAATCCCAAACTATAGTAAATATTTTTGTTTTAAAGAAAATTTTGGAGCGAATTTCACTGACTGCTGATGTGCAACCTATATTTACCCATTTTTGTTGCCATAAATCTGTGAAAGAGGTAGTAACAAAATCAGCTCTCTTGCACTGCTTATTATCTTGTATCAAATATAAAATGTTACATTTTATTATTATTACTATTACTATTATTATTATTATTACTATTATTATAGAAACATAGGGAGGAAAATCTTACATACATCAAGTAAAATGTCTCAATTTTCACAGAAAGTAGCAGAGTCAGGAATCAGTTCACTTTTTAGTACCATATCTAGTTTCTTGCCACAGTGCTGGAACAGTGATTACTTTGTTTATTCCAAGCTCATTTGAAATCTCTATCAGTAGTATTCCTTCTTTGATTTAGTGTTTTCTTATGACTTTACAGTTTTTTACTGGAAAATAATAACTATATTTTATCATGTAAAATGTTTTAATTTGTGTATTAAATATCAAATCAGGTTTAATAGCACATGTTTCAACTCAACATATGTATTATTTAATTGTAGTGACAATATTCAAACTGTTTTCCAGCCATTTTTATGTGAATCTAAAACCACTGATTTCATAGAAGTTGATAGTGGAGTGCTAGCTACCAGGTGTTAGGAGAAAGCTGAGAAAAAATAATACTGAGAGAAGATTGGTCAATGAGCACAAATTTAGACAAGAACAAGAAGTTTCAGTATTTTGTACTGCATACTAGAGTAGAATTGGATAGCAATAAAATCACTATGTACCTAACTTAATTTTTGTACAGAATGAAGTCCTGAGTAAATTATTGTTTGACATGGGCAAAAAGATGTCAAGGACTCAAATGACTCAGTGCCATAGGAATAATGAAGCTCACTGGAATGATAAAGCCTTCCTCTGGTTCACGTGAATACATTAACAGTGACTGTAGAAAATACCCACTATCACTTTCTCTCCCTCCTCTCAATATTTATGGCTTGAAGACTGTTCTATAGAGACAGCTCCTATGAATATGATTTATATCTAAAAATTAAGATGAATAATTTAGCTTAGTATCAGGAACAAACTCTGTGGAAGTCAATTTTTACAAATATTGTTTCCTACCTTTCTTTCATTCCTGGTAATCCACAAGGCCCTTTTTATGACTACAGTGCAATTCATTACTTCTTTAACCCATGAAAAGTTCCTCAATCAGTTAACTATTATCAGTTCTCTTAAACACACAAACCATTGACAGGCACATAAAACATTTCAGAGCAATTTTCCTTGCAATTGTAATAGAAGTGTTTATGTAGGAAAGGTCTTTTTGCCTCCATTTACTGAGAATTTAGGCTGTATCCACATTTTCATGTATTTAATAACTATATAGTCTTATATTTCATCTCACTTTTTGTATTGTTAAATAGTGACACTCCTTACCTTTCCTTCTGAACAGGATCTCCTTCACTACATATAGCTGCTAAAATCCAGTAAAGAAATATATACTCTACATTCAGATAAATTATTTCTTGTTGAAGAAATCCTCAATTAGATTAAATATGAACTGTGAGATGCACACATAGACTTCAGAAGTTGGACTCCTGGGTAAAGCTTCATGGATTAAATATATAATGATTGAATGACATTGGCTTAAAATCTCATCTTGGAAAAATAATGTCAAAGTATATGGCTTTCTAGGCAAAATAAGCTACCTTGCCCTTTCAGAAACAGCACAGAAATTTTGTTAAGCATATAGATAATTTTAAGGTCATTTCTTATGGCATATAAATACAATTGCCAATAAATAAATATTTAGTCTGAATATAGTCTTACTTTTAATGAGTCTAGCATGATAATACGCTAATAGTTTCATTCAATGAGTAAAAATACTGTTTTCATTTTAAGAAGAGAGAAAGATTTAATTATTCTCAAACTAAGAAATTGTTGGTATTGTTTTATACAGATTCTAAAAAGCTAAGCAAAAGGTATAAGTCTTCAAAATTCATGTTCTAGGAGTTCCAGAATAGTCAGGGATACATGGAGATGTCTCTTTTACTTGCTTTTAGGACACTTTTCCTCCTACTGGGTTATATTGCCCAGTTTTGATATGAAGATTTGTGCCTAGTATTATTGTATCTTGTTATGCTGAGTTCAGTTGACATCTCTGGTTGGCCTGCTCTTTTCTGAAGGGAAACCAAGAAGCAGTAGGTCTGGAGGAACAGGAAGTAGTTTAGGTGGGTGGGGTAGGGGATTGGGAGAATTAGAGTGAGAATAGGATGCAATCTGGACATATTCTGTGAGATAATAAATAAAAAGAAAACAGAAAAACAAATCATGTACTTAATACAATGGCTTAAGGACTAGGTTGGAAGCTCTTTTTTTTAACTTTTCAAAAGTTAAAATAGATGATACACTGTCAACAAAAACTTCTTGAAGAAAATACATTTACTATTCAGGTGAAGTTTAAAGGGATGCTCTAATGAGCTCTGGTTAAAAGGAGTACAAGTAACAATGAGAATTGTGTTTGATTCTTAACTGTTATAGAAAGAACAATAAAATAAACATGACATTAATTTATATGTTAGAGACTATGTTCACTAAATATAAAATTCTAAATGTTTATTTTAGTCATAATTTACATGTTAATAGACATGTTTACTTAGGCTTATTTTCTTCCAATAAATGTCTATTAATACTGTTCATCCTATGACAGGATCTTAAGATTCAGTGTTAAAAGATATACCACTAAAAGAATAAATTTTTTAAAGAAAGTAGTACAAGTTCATGGAACTGTACTAATATACTTTATAATATAAGTCAAATATCCTCTTTCTTCTCCCAAGTTGTGTTTACCATGGCACTTCTGCTTGGCAATAGTAATACTAAGATAGACTCCACAGTTCAAATTCTTTAAGTGTTTGACTATGTAACTCATCTTCTCACCAGATATAAATAAGTATTATAATTAATTTCTAAAACTCTATTTGCACTTGAATTTATACTGTCCAAATAAAAGGCTGCTTATCCAAAAGTATTTTAACTTGCTCATTTTATTTTTATATGTGTACAATTTTATTTCATAGACACTGGGTTTACAATATTATGGGATATGTAGTGGATAGACAAATATTGGTGGTGAAAGAATTGTATAATGCAACTTCAAAATTGCAGGAAACCATGAAAAGAATATAAAGACAATTTAAATACTGTTACAAGTTTGTTTTTCTTATTTTTTTTAAAAAAACATGGCAAGTACCATCCTTTAGAATCTTGGAGCAAGTTATCTGGAATTTCACTAAAAAAGACTTGTTCTTGTCTAAATCCTCCATTATTGTGTTGACTTTACTTCTTGCTGGTCAAAATCTTTTATTAATTTTTTAATGTGAACTAGCTTATTGTAAAGAAACACACATCTATTTTTTTCTTCGCAAAATTTAGGATTAAGCTGTCGCATTTTCTGATATTCTATTGAGATTTTTTTAGTAATATCTTGGTATTCTTTGGATCCTGGGGATAATCCCTTCCTTTCTGAATCTAGGTCAATGATTGGTGTACATGAAATCTGAATCTTGTCATACATGGCCTGATATTCACTATAATCTTCCCGGAATTCCTTCTCATAACACTGACGTTGGTCAGAGGAAACTATAATGGTATAATTAGACAAATAATCTGGAGTCCCAGATGTAGTACCAAACCTTCCAGAATCAGCAAAGGCTTTTTTAATTTCTTTGTTGGAATTTGACTTCATAGTTTCATCTTGTTTGTTAAAATCTATCTTCGGTTTCTCCTTTGTGCTGGTAATATAATTTGGGATGGTTGTTTTTCGCTTTGCAAATGTACATTTGAACTTCTCAGGCATGAAATGCTGCATTTCTATAGGTTTTGAATGCTTTTTTTGAACAGAAGCACAGGATGAGGTTTCTGAAGATGTGCATTTATTCATCTCTTTTTCAACTGTGCTGCCATCATGGTGGATGCTGTCACATGCATGTTGACTCTCAGATCTTTCTAGAGCACTTCGAACATTACGATTAGATTTCATGAGCAATGGTGAATTTGAAATTGGCAGGTGAGAGGTAGGCAACGGCAAAGGGATGTATTTGGTAGTAGCTGCAGAGCATGGCAGAATCACTGACTTCTCACCGCTTACATGGCCATTTGATGCTAACTGCACAGCAGATTTAGGGGAACAGAGTCCTCCTTTGTTTTTAATTAAAGTATCAATACCAGATAAATGGAGAAAATGATCCTTTGAGGATGATGTATCATCTGTTTTACAAACTACAGATGTTTCTTTGCAATGAGTGGCCTTGGTGACATTGTTAAATGGATGTAGTTTCCTTGAAAGCACAAAATCCAGTGATTGCTTGTCTTCCTTGTTATAACCAGGCCAATCTCTCTGGACTTCTTTGAAGATACTGTCTTTTAAAGTATATGACAAAGTAGTGGCATTCAAATTAGCCACCTGCAGCAGAATTTTTCCAAGAAAATTGGTGTCATTTATTTTGATACCATCCTTTTGCAGTTGAACAAGAAGTTCCGATTTCTTGTAGTCTTTCAATGCCAATCACCCTATCCCTAAATGACCGCATATGGACACCATTGATCATCCGTGACTTTCGGATGGCATGTGCAGGATTGAGAGGGCTTGTTTTTTTCCTTTCAGGTGCTTGATCAGGAGCAAAATGAAGCACTTTTTGAGCTGGCATTTTTTTCTGTACATATGATTTTCTAATATTCTTCCATGTGTTGCAGGATTTCTCTTCTGCTTCTGTCATTCTCTCTGGAGTCATCTGAACAGAGATACCAGCTCTACTCACTGACATTTTGTCTTGAATTGATTGTATGCAGTTGAATTGTGGACGGGAGTTTGACATATTTGGTTGGGGATTCCCAATTTTCTCCTGTTGGCTATCATTACTCATATTAGATAATTGAAAGTTAAAGGTTTTTATGTCTGTAGATGAATGGTTTGATGTGATTTTGTTAAGCTGTTGAAATCCTTGGAACTGAGAAATTTGAGAAGGGGATGGATGCTTATTGTTCTGGTACATGGGACTTGCCTGGAAGATTGGTCTTGAAATCCCCATAGGCAGCCTACTGACATTGACTAACCCTGGGTCTAGGTTGTCTGCCTCCTTCACAGACATCTGTCCTTCTGGGTGTATGATTTTTCCTGTTGCTCTGCTTCCAAAGGCAGCCGAACGGTCATATCTGTAAAGAAAGATATTTGAAAGAAATATTTGAATGAAAAATGATTTTACTCTCTTTAAGCATATATGAACTATTACTTCTTTGTTTATAAAAATATGCTTATGGAAGATTTGTACTTTAAGTGAACAAATAAGAGAAATAGCTGACTGAGGAAAATTTGGAGAAGGTAAAATTGGTTGTAAAAAAAAAAATCTTTGATTTACCTTTCATCTGTATAGGTTCTCTTCAGGAGACTCTGTTGGCTCAAACTGAAAATTTATTTACTGAATTCTGTATGTAAAAAAGACATCTCCTGCTCAGAATCTCAAGTAAAGGTACTTGATAGTGGAATAACAAGCATCTAAAAATTATTGGAGACTATAGGAGAAGATTTCTCTGTGACATGGTTAAATCAAGTCTATGTTACATTTAGTCTGTCTTGCAAGAAATCTTTTGACTATTTTGTGGGATTAAAGCTTAGCCTATCCACAGAAGCTAACTTGAGACCGTATAATTTGTATTATTAGTAATAGATAAAAAGAATTAAGAGGTGCTTATTTTTAATTCTTAATTCTCCATACATCACTAATAAGGGGAACTGTTTTGCTTCATAATTATTCTTCTATCAGTCTTTTACTTGATATCCCTTCTCACTAATTCTCTTTTCTATTATTCTTTTTTTTCTTTATTTAGAGTCTTTATATAACCATTCTACTTAAGTAAGTGTCCTAATACTCACAATTACTATAGAATTTTATTTCATTTGTCTTATACATTTACTACCTGGAATCAGATTATATTTGCTTATTTGTTTCATGTAAGTTAATTTGACCAGGATATGAATTTAATACAGCATTGGATTTTGTCATTATTTTTATTACTTTGTGTTAGGACCCATAATGGGACAAGCTAATAATTAGCAGATGATCATCCTGAAATGCTTGCCTCGGATTATTATATAATCTGCGACAGAGTGAGCTCTCATCCAGCAAGGCTGTGAGAGACTTACTTTAGGAAAGATTCCTGCTATTAATATGATTTCCTATTGTTTATTATCATTATTATCATTATTATTATTATTATTAAGCATATGTAACAATCTCTAAGCAATAGCATACCCCTTTAAAGCAGATCTCTGCAGACCCTTGAAGATATACTGTCTTGTAGTGATGCTGTATAGACAAATAGATGACTTCTTAAGTCTTAATGATGATTTTATAAGAATTCTTAAAATTATATCAATGATTATTAAGCTCTTTTATAGTGGGACTGGTATTAAGTCCCTTTCTGGTAGTCAAAACTGCAATGAAAACTCTGCCAGTCTCCAGTGTCATCAGTTAATTGCCCTTAGATAGTAACCAGATTTTCCCCTGCTCAGAGCACTGTCCAATGAGGTTATAAAACAGCTAACCAAAGGTCACTAAAAGAGAACTCACAATTTATTATAGGTACTAGGACAGAAGAGAAAATATTGCCTGGGTTAATCTATAAAAACTTCACTAATTTCTTAGTTATAGTTTTAAACCTTCAGGGAACCTGTGGAGCTAGACAGGTCATGGATGTTTAGTCAGATAATTACTCCTAATGGATATGCATGTAAACATTCTGTGTTGTAAACTTCTATTTCAATTTATGATGTGAATTTTGGTGTGAACTTGTGATGAACTTTGTAACATGTGACCATGTACTCTGTAAGATGTATAAGTACTGAGTACAAAGAGAAGAGAGTGAGTTAGATATAGAATAGAGTTAGATATAGAATAGAGTTAGTTAGATATAGAATAGATAGAATAGAGTTAGTTAGATATAGAGTTAGAATAGAAGATAGAATAGAGATAGGATAGAGTTTTTCCCTTTTCCCAGATAGAATAGAAGTTTAACCTTTTTCTCCACTTAGGACCTTTCTGCTTTTCCCCTTAGATAGCTTTCATAGGAAACTTTTAACAACTTAGTAATAAGTTATATAAGTGATATCTCTAAGTGTCTTTTCTTCCTGTGACCTCAGACTAGCAGTTCCTGCTGAGACAGAACAAAGGCTACATTGCCTAATCCTCTGCTGTTAGGCTACAAGTGTTAATCACCTAAGCCTGCAGTCTTTTACCCTCAGAAGAAGTTTTTAGGACTTTTTAGAAGTTATCATCAGCATTTCAGTACTGATCAGAGAGCCAGAAAGCCCTGAGATCCTCAGACTATAAAGCCATCACCAGAGTCCTACTCTGTGTCCCTGCCACTACCCTCTCTGAGCCAGGAGGCTCTGGGCAGCTTTGACTCTAGTAGCTAAAGTTATCTCTCAAAGATATAAGAAGTCAGTACTTTAACAAATTAGTATGTCAATTATATTTACTGGGTGGAGGGTATTAAAGGAACTTGCAGCAGTGTTCAGAGAGCTTGCTGAGGCATTTCTCATCTGCTCCAAGAAGTTGACTGGGTGCCACCTCACCTCCAACCCCCAAGGGCAGGTAGGATCAGGCAACAACTAGTCGGGGCGGGGGGGGCAGGCAACAAAATATATTTTAAAATATCTAAAAATTTCTTATTTTTGAAGAGGTCTAGTTTGCCAAATTGTTACTAATACATTAAATGCTTATCTCAGAAGGGATTGTGAGGGTGAATAACAATAACATATCAAATTCCACCACCTACATGTTTAAAGGAACTTGAATAATTTTTCCTCTGTGCTTCTTGCTTCCAGGCTCATGCATTGAGTTGATAACCTGATTTATGTCAATGGTGTATTGTAATCTGGAAGCATAAACTACATGAACCTATCCTTCCCATACTTCTTTTATTCAGAGTAGTCAGAGTTGCATAAAAATAAACTAGAACAGAAAATGAATGCTACAAAAAGTAGGCTGTTGCTATGATGGACTTGTCTAAGTTGTTTTTGGAAGGATTGTGGCAACAGTAATTTTGAGCTAGAAAAGCTTTTGAATTTTCAGAGTTTAATGGGGAATTTTGGGGAGCTTAGATGATAAGAATGCTGAAGGAAATATAGAAAATGGAGGTTTGGCTTGTAACATTTCAGAGGGGAGCAAAGACTATTGGATTGTTTATATGATATTTTAGTTTAAGAATATGGTTGCTTGTAAGTGAGGTATGCAGAATCAGCTATGATTTACAAAATACAAATGCCACAGAAGTAAAACATTTGCTTTAGTGAGACAAAGGAGGCTAGTCATCTGGAGGGAAAAAATGAAACAACAAACCAAAACCAAGAAAATCCAGCTTTGATTAATAAGAGATCAGCACTGTTCTGAACTCTCGGAAAGGAAGTATCTCCTCAGGGTCATCACACAGAAGCTGTGGTCCAAGTGGCCATGAGTGCATCTAAAGCTTGCTGTGAACTTGGCAATGTATAAAGATCTCCCATGCAGTACTGCTTTTGGAGACAGAAAATCTACAAGTTCATTGATGAAGTTCAGATAAGGATTGAGACCATATAACACAGTCCAAGTCCCTGAAGATGCCAGAAGAGGACAAGGTTAAAGGTCCAGTAAGTTTTAGTGGAGACCAGGGGATATTGGAAACGCTAAGGGCATGAGACAACCACCAAAGATAATAACTGATTCAGAAAGGAGCTATAATAACCCTAAGAGTTATGTGCTAAGACTATACACTACATCTGACAGAGACAGAGCAATAGGGCTACTCAAGCCTCGTGGAGTCCAGAAAATTAGGAGTCTTAAAATCTTACACTGAGGTACTTAATTGAATTTACTCTGTTGGATTTAGGATTTAGCTTTGATCTGATTATTTTTGTTCCCTGCTTCTTCCCTTTTAAATAAGAAAATGTGCAATTTTTTCCACTTTATAAGATCCCATAGATAAGAAATTTTTTATTTTTTTGAACAATGAACTTTTTTTTCACTACCAGAACATCACATCAGTTTATTTTAGATGTAACAGCAACATTAAAATTGACAAGTTTAATTCTTAACTGCAGCAAGTAAACGTAGCCACTTTAAAGTTATTCCCTCCAAAAACTGAAGGAGTTTTTCTTTTCCACCACCACACACCATGCTTCCCAATAGTTCCTCTTTTTGGAGGACTTTCAGTTAATGAGTGACTTGCTTTGGAGACACTTAACAACTTCTTTCCCCCAGATGAAAATTGATCTTGACAAATTACATATTGCATAGATTTCTCTACGGATTCTTTACTTTAGAACCTAAATTCAAATAGCATACAGAATAGTTTTAACCTATGTACCCCACAGTAAAAATGATCTGTTCTGAAAAATGATGAAGATAGACCGTTCTCTTCCAGTTAATAGAATTGGTTTTACCTCAAAGATTATTTTTATTATATGTTAAAAACAAAAGAAAAAGCCCAAACAAATCAAAACCCAAACCCACAAATTCAACATGGGGCATTACTTTAGTATTTCCTGACTCACAGGCATATGGGCTAGTGTGGGTCCCTGGTTACAGAGGGTGTTCCATGATGATCTCCCGGCTGAGGGCAGAGTGAGAGCAGGGAGGGTATGCTACCATTTCTGCCGCTGCCTCTGCCTGCATCTCCACTGTCCATTGGTCTCTGGCCAGGCCTGGTGTGAGAGGTCTGGGCCAAAGGGTACAGAGTGTGATCAGGGAGAAGAGATTGCTTGCCCCCACTGTTGCCTCTGTCCAAGTCTCCTCTGTTGCTGCTCAGTCACTATCAGGTGCTGCACCTGTCTCTCAGCGCTGAGCCAGCCCCTGCTGGGCCAATAGGAAGCCAGCTAGCTGGCAAGGAAGCAACTTGGTGCCCAGGAAGGTTACAGGAGAGCAGATCTCTCCCCAAGTGTTACAGCTTTAGTGTTACAGCACTTGCGACAGAACCTCTCAGACTCCAGGATGATTCTCGAACACACCTTTTTTTTTTAACTTTTTTTTTATTGGATGTTTTATTTACATTACCTATGTTGTCCCCTTACCCCATCCCCCACCCACCCAGGAACCCCCAATCCACTCACCCCTCCTGCTTCTTCTCTGTGGATGTAACCTCTATCTACGTCCCCACTCCCACCTCCCCACCCTCAAAAT